ATTAAAACGTCACGTTATCTAAGTATACTATAGTTGTATTATTTGTCCGTGAAGTTTCCTAAAATGTATAAATAATAAATAAAGGAATAATGCCGTCATATAAAGGAACGTCAAATAATGAGTAGACTACGGCCTTAGAATAATAACGCATAGAAACCTAGTCCGCACACGCTAAGTGAGGCAAATTGAAGCGCGCCCAATAGGCCTACACGAGCGGGCGGGCCTTCAGTGCTCAAGGTCAACTTGCACCGCGAACAGATCAAGAATTTTAGCTAAAAATGACGAAATGTGCGGTAAACGAGTGTAAAAATACGTCAGACAAACATAAAATACATACTAACATCACATTCTACAAGGAAGTAACGTGTTTCAACTTGTATTTTTATATAAATATTCACTAAAACCGAAAATTAACCTACTACTAAAACTAGCCTACATGAATTTGATTTTTGCCTCACTTGTGACAGTTCGTTTGATATGAAACTATCATTCTATGCGTTATTATTCTAAGACTACGGCATCGACGTGCAATCGATTCGCTAATGAAGAGCAGAACACCAAAGAATTGCAATGGCAGTTCAATGGTATCACTAACAAGCTTCTTTAGCAGAAAACAAAATCCTGTCAATGACACTACCACACACAACTGTGAGTCACCGGAAGAGAAGCGAAGAAAAATGTTTTCCTTGGCTATAAATACACATAATAATGAGCACCACCTCATGGCCGAAGATCACGATATAATTGCAACTGATCACTTGTGATAAGAAATATTATAAATAAATAATAGTATTTTACGACGAAAGGGTTTAAAATACGAATGTGGGTTCACACGAGTGTTTTAATGCCTAATTATGTGCAGTTACATATACTGCTTTATCTATCTATACACATATTAGAAGCTCTCTATGACGTGTTTAGGAACTGCATGTTACCACTGGCCAAATGGCCAAATAAAAACTTTTCTCACTCATGTCACACTACGGTAGTTTTTATTTAATTCATAGACAAGCTAGGTAGGATTCGCTCTGGACCTTTTGGAGGGAAAAGTATCGTTTTTATTTTGACTTTCAATTATTTTGTTAAATCTAGTTTAAAGTGGAATAGGATAGTGCTATTGTGCCTTAATCGAAGATTAAAACGCGAAATTTTACGAATCTCGAACTAAAATATCCGTATCGGCCCGTTTTAAGGAATCCCGAGTCAATTCAAGCGCGCCGCCTCAAATTGCCTATCCTCTTTGTCGCGGCCATATTTACAGAAACATAATTAAACTTCATGTTTAGGCTGATGGCTTTGCCAAGGCCTTAATTAATAAAAAAAAAAAACAAACTAGGTAGGCAAAGGTTCCACCATACAGCCACTTCATATATTTAGACAAAAGCCAAACAGCTACGGAACAAAAATCAAAGGATAGAATAGAAGTGGCCAAGTAGCGCATATATTTTAACCAATTTTTTTTTAATACAGTTTTATGGCCCTTTGGTTGCAAGACTTTTAGGCCAATAAAACCTATCAGGAGTCAGGCCTTAGAATAGCGTCCTAATTGATATTATTTAGTGAAAATACGACGTTATTTTATTGAAACTCTTATAATTCTGTGTGCAGTACTATAATATTCACGTTTGGTCTTTGATAATACTCATTAGAGTTCTATGTACAGAAGTTTAATGAAGTTTTTCAGCTCAATGGCGAGTACCATAGACAATAGAATTTTGATTCAGAACTAAAAAGAGCGCCTTTATGATATGGTTTATGAAATTATAATTGACAGATTGATTACAGGAGTACAGGAGTAGAAAAACAATTTTAAATTACCTGGAAAAGCAATAAGAGCGAATTTGTCGGGGTAGTTCATTGTCAAGAAATAGTAGGTGTGAAAGTAATATTTAACAATGAGTGAAAGCCTTGAAAGGCGTAATTGGAGCTCTAAACGCCTTTATGGGCAGCTAGAAAAGGGTCAGACAAGTCGCCTTCCAACCTTGATATACTGCAGTGAATGTTAGTTTTGGCAACAGAAGCATGCATGTTGGGAGAATGCCCTAGAAATTAAAATGTAGCATACTATATATCTGTGGTATAACTTTATACTAGATATAAAAGAAGGTAGCGATATGAAAAAAATATGTAATGACCAGAATTGAAAAAAAAAATGTTTAGACGATTTTGTCACATAGAAGATATGAATGCTTGTAAAATAACTACACAATTTTTTTTATTTGCTAATCAAGCTTTTGTAAGTAATAATGTTTCTGCAAATAGTCCAATTTACCGAATGTGTAGAACATGTAATGATGTTGGTTGTAACCGTGATATATTCCGTGATAACCTTCCCGCATTTAAAAAGTGCGTCGTTAAACGACTCATTTGACGTATTTTAAGACCTTCTATTTTAAAATTCTTCTGTATTGTTGTTATTGTATCCTTTTTGTTTTACTTTTTTGTTACTAAGATCGCATAACCTATAGTTTTTTGAATGCTGTGTACAGTTATAATTGGTATGCAGATTTAGTGATGTTTCTTTTTAAAATAATTTTGTTTGAAAACGATGCTGTAATCTGTTTTCTGTAATTTGTACCATTACAATAAAAATAAACAAAATAAATTTATAATTAATAAATAAATAAAATAACATGTTTCTTTTTTTAGGTATAAACCATTAATAATTTAACATTACTTTACATAACATTTATATTTTATTTTATTTACGGAAAATTATTATTAATAAAGTTTTTATAGGAAATGAAACTATTTTTCCGGATTTAAATCCGGAAACTCGAAATAAAGTTTTTAATTAAGAATTAATTTAGTTTGAGTTTAAGATACTAAATTGAGTGTTCTTTTAAAAAGCACTTAGCGCATACTATCTTCAGAATAATATTGGCTGAATCATTCACTCTCCTAAGAAAAGACCAATCAATGTCTTTTACGTGTTGCGGCGAAAACATCATTTAGGTAAATGTATCGATTTCCTATTATAGGTGGCCATATTTATAGGTGACGGCACGAAGTAGCCGTGAATTCTAGACCGATACAGTACGCTCCACTGATGCTGTCAATAACTCACAACGCCCCTTGGAGATCTAAGAGTCATTCTAGGGATGTCTGGGCCAAATAATTGACAAGTTGACCCACTAGTTCAGAAGCGTAGCGGGTAGAGGTAATGGTGGTACATCAGAAGCGTAGCGGGTCGAGGTAGAGGTGGTACATCAGAAACGTAGTGGGTAGAGGTAGCGATGGTATGTAATAAGCATAGCGGATAGAGGTAGAGGTGGTATATTAGAAGCGTAGGGGCTGAGGTAGAGGTGGTACATCAGAAACGTAGGGGGTAGAGGTAGCGGTGGTATGTAAAAAGCATAGCAGGTAGAGGTAAAGGTGGTATATTAGAAGCGTAGGGGGCAGAGGTAGAGGTGGTACATAAGAAACGTAGTGGGTAGAGATAGAGGTGGTACATCATAAGCGTAATGGGTAGAAGTAAGGGTAGTATGTCAGAAGCTTAGCAGGTAGAAGAGTTCATAGTCTCTGCCTAACTCAGTAGCAAAACAGGCGTAATTTTACCTACGCAAATTACTAAAAATATTATAAGCTACCTAAAATTATTTGGTAATTTGTACACAGAGTCAACGGTTCTGGTTTCACGAATCGCGATTTAGTTTTTTATAGCTCTTTCTCACGAGAACGTATGTCCTTGTAGTTACTTACCTAAGAGAGCTTACCTCAATAAGCCGAAAAGGTCTGCCAGTTTTATCCCAGGAAATTACCCCGCTACTCGTCAACTAATTAAATGTGAGTCGGGGTAAAGTCAAGTGAGCATCGTACTTACCTTTACGCAATATATGATGTATGTAATAATTACATTCCTAAATAATGGGTTGGCCAAACAGTCCGTTCGGTTTTTGACTAGCTAACTTTAAACATAAAAGGAACTTTTTCCCTATTAAAATTGTATATTGTCTATGATCATTTTAAAAATGATATTTTAGCGCGCATTTCAAAAATAGGCGGCAAAGTTTTATGTTTAAAATTCACGATAAAGGCTCGGAACCGGTGAATCGTAAAGATTTTTATTTCAAAGTCACTTTAGAGTAGAGTCTCCGTTACACGCCACGTCCCAGGTGTTTGGGGCTGAAGCCGTCTCCCATGCGCATACGGTCTCATTCTCTCCAAAAGAAGTGGCATTAGCCATTAAGAAAATGGTAAGGGGTAAATCACCGGGTCATGATGGCCTCAGCATTGAGCACTTGCAACATGCGGGTTGCCATTTGCCGCTGGTACTTGCTACGTTTTTTACACTGTGTCTCAATCCCAGTTACAGTAGTGGTGCCAATCGTAAAAAACAAGATGGGTGATTCATCGGATCCATCTAATTATAGGCCGATTTCTTTGGCCACCGTGATTGCAAAAGTCCTAGACAGTCTGTTTGATGACCACCTGAGTGTAAACGATGCACAACTTGGTTTTAGACCAGGTCTGTCCACTGAGAGTGCTATCTTATGTCTCAAGCATACTGTCCAGTATTATACTGCTAGAAAGACCCTGGTTTACGCGTGCTATCTAGACCTCTCGAGGGCCTTTCTCCTGGTTTCATATAATGTATTGTGGGAAAAACTATATAATGAGTCCAGTTTGCCGCGTGAAGTAACAGACTTGTTTAGGTATTGGTACAATAACCAAAGCAATTTTATCAGATGGGGAAGTGCTATCTTGGACTGTTATGGACTGAGCTCACCCAAGCTTTTCAATTTATCCAAAATAATATAAGTTACGTTGGCGACATGGTGCTACTTAGCCCATAGATTAGAGCACTTATGTCTTTGATGCAAATTTATGAGTCATACGCTGTGACCTACTTAGGTACAATGTTTTGAAGAGCGAGCTGATGGTTTTTACGTCAGGTACTAAATGTTACAATATTATGCCTAATGTAACACTTTGCGGTGCTCCTTTGAATGAAAATAGTTTCGAGATTTAAGTACCTGGGTCACTGGGTCACGGATGACCTTTCTGACAACGTCGACATCGAGAAGGAGCGTAGGTCGTTGGCTGTTCGTTGTAAAATGTTGGCCCGCAGGTTTGCGTGCTGTACAAGACAAGTAAAGATTACACTTTTTAAAGCTTATTGTCAATCTTTTTACACGTGCAGTCTGTGTGTCTACTATACGTGAAGGACATACAACGGCCTGCGCGTACAATACAACAACGCGTTCCGGGTATTGCTGGGGCTGCCGCGCTACTGCAGCGCCTCGGGTATGTTCGTGGAGGCGCACACAAACGGGTTTGCAGCCATCATGTGCAAGAGGTGCGCCACCACACTATGCCGCCTGCGCAGCCGCCCCAACCACATCCTGAGCGCGTTGTCCGCTCGCTGGGACTCGCCGATGTTCGCTCATTGGATACGACTGCATACCGCCGTCGCATATTATTGTTAGTTTTTAATTATTTTATGTTGCTGTGTATGTATTGTGTAACTAACCCTTAGGCTTAAGTAGTTTGTAATCTTACTAACAATCTATGGACCTGGTTCCGAAATAAATTATTATTATTATTATTTTTCTTGTACTCGACTGATGGTCGGATATTTGGAACCAGCCTAAGCCACGTATTCTGGTTCGGTTGTGGTATTGTGAGATTGACTTTTGTAGAGGTATGTAGGTTTTAGGGTGCAGATCTATCATTTTTAAGGCGGTATGAAGGGTTTTCGGTATGATACCAGTTGACGAAATTATAATGGGAACTATCTTAATGGTTTCTTGATACCACATCTGTTTGATTTCATCTGCTAAAGGATGTATTTTTGTATTTTTTCACTGTGTTTCTGTTTTAAGTTGTTTATATTGGGAACGGCAATATCTATGAGGTAGGTGGTCTTTGCAGATTTAACAGTTAGTGTTATATCAGGTATGTTGCTGAGGATAGTGCGGTCGGTGACGATATCTCGATCCTAACATAGTTTTACTTTATTATTTTCCAGCACATTTTTCGGTTTGTATTTGTAGTAGGGTGTATGTGTTTCTGTCAGACTATGTTTGAGTGCAAGTTGTTGGTGAATGTATTTGGCAACATTATCATGGCGATGTATATAATCTTTGTTGGTGAGTACGCTGCAACCTCCTGTTACATGATCTATAGATTCAGTGTATCGGTGGCATAATCGGCATTTGTCGGTTTCTATTGACTCTTTTAGGATATATTTGGAGTCACTGCGTGTTTTAATTACTTAGTCCTGTATAGCTACTAGGAATCCTTCTGTCTCACTAAATATGTTTTCCTTTGGTAAGCCAGGTGGTTGATGAAGTTTGGTCTATGTGATCTTGTTCCAGTTGATGGGGGAATTTGCCGTGAAGTGCTTTGTTCTTCCAGTTTTCTAACTTCTGTTCTTGTTTTAGAATTCCGGTTTTTGGGTCAAATTGTTTATTGTTCAGAATGAGAGGTATTCCAGAATGAGGTAAGAGTACTATTGCTTTGTGTAGTGTGCTGTCGTTGGCTTTTCTGATGAAATATGTTCGCAGATTGTCTATTTGGGTGTAGTGTAGGTTTTTAATGTCCATGAATCCGCGACCACCTAATTTTCTTTTCAGTGTAAATCTTTGTACAGCAGAGTGTGTATGATGAATGTTGTGTCTATTGCATGTTGTCCTAGTTGTGGTGTTGAGGGCATTAAGCTCAGTATCGGGCCATTTGACGATTCCGAAAGAATACGTTAAGATGGGGATGGCGTATGTGTTAATGGCTTTGACTATATTTCTGGCGGATAATTGGGTACTGAGTATTTTATTTAGTCTCTGTTTATATTTAGTTTCCAATGTGTTTTTTATAGTATCTTAAATATTTGTATGTCTCTCTCGGTTCCATGCTGTGTATAGTCCCTCTTTGTAGCTCAAGTCCAAAAGAATCTGTTCTGCTGTGCATGCCTTTAATGATGCTATTGATTTTACATTTATTTGTTCCAAAAGTAATTTTTATTTCTGTGCAAATTTTTTCCGTTAGTCTTAATAGATGGTCTGATTCCGGTTTGCTACTTGCGTATAGTTTTATGTCATCCATGTATAATAGGTGTGTAAGTTCGATTTTGTTTTCTCTGTCAATGAGGTATTCATATGTAGTTATTAAGTATTCTGGAGAGAGGATTTAAGGCAAGACAGAACCACAGAGGACTAAGAGAGTCGCCTTGGTTTATCCCGGGTGCAATTTTGAGTTCACATTGAGTTTTGTTGTCCATTTGGTCATTGCGCGTCGTAGGAACTGTATTAGACTATTCTCAATCTTATATATTCTCAAGATGTGTAGTAGCCATAAATGGGGCACGCTATCAAAAGTTTTTGGGTAATCGATATATTAGTAATATAAATTTCTGTGTTTGTGTTTTACTTGATTGTGTATTTGCGCATCTATTATTAGTTGTTCTTTACAACCCATTGAACCTTTACTGCAACCCTTCTGTTCCTCTGGTATGTTTTTTTTTGTTGATACGTGTGAGCTGATTTTATGTGTACTAATGGATGTTAGTAGTTTGTACATAGTTGGGAGACATGTAATGGGTCTGTATTTGGCTGGGTTTGTTGTGTCACTATCTTTGGGTTTTAAGTAGGTTGTTCCTTGAGTAAGGAAAGCAGGCATGTCGTGTGGATTTTGAATGAAGCCGTTTAGTGTGTTTGCTGTGTCTGTGAATTGAAGTTAAGTATTTGATCCAATAGTTTTGAATGTTATCAGTTCCGGGCGCTTTCCAATTTAATGATCTTTTTATTGCTTGTGTTACGTCGTCTTTGTCGATTGTTATTTCTGGCATAGGTTAAATTTTCTCCATCTTTTGTTCTTCTATTTCAGTCCATGACGAGTGTGTATTGTGTTGTACGGGTTTTGACCATATATTTTCCGAGTATTTGGAGCTCTTTTATGTCTGGTTGTTATGTTACTATTATGTTTTCTGAGTTTAGTTTTTGGTAAAATGTCTTTTGGTTGTTACTGAACAAAATACTGTCTGACTTTCTTTGGTTACTTTTCTTGTATCGGTTCAGTCGTTTAGCTTGTGCCTGTAGTTTTTGCTTATTTTTATCGAGTTCGTCTATTAATTCTTGTCTGGTTTTGTTATTAGGGTTTAGTTTTTGTTGTTTTTTCTGTGTAAGGTTTCCGTTTAGATATTGTGTGAGTTGTCCTATTTCTTTCCTTAGCGTTGTGATCTTGTTTTCTATTCGTTTCTCCCATTGTGGTTTCTTTTGTTTATCTGTTTTATTTTTTTGTGTATGGGAAGCGTGGTCTACTGTTTTTTTAGTTTTTTTGTCGTGTAATGTCGTAACTGTTATTGCGGCACAGTATATAGCAGTGTGAACTTCTTCAAACGTGATTATTTTTTTGTATTGTAAGTGTTTGTCAACTATTTGATTAACGATGTAAACAGTTTTAACTATTTGCAGTGTCGTGAATTGAGTGTATATTAGCTTGTTGACTATGATGTAGACATGTGTTTGAGATCTGTTGTTCTTCTGTAGTATTAATAGTGCTACTTGTAACTGGGGGGTGTAGGTGTAATCGTCTGTTTTATGCGTTCTCGCTCGTTGATATTCTATTGTTTCGATAGTCGCTGTTCAGAAAGATGACACAGTTCTGGGAATTGTTGTATGAATATATTATATAGCAATGGCCTCCAGGCAGTCATATCAGTTTCGCACTTTGTTACCGTATAGTAGCAACGGAGGAGCTCTGTGTTAATATCATTAGTCGATTTCATCCGTTGTCTACTTCTTCCTGCTAGGGTAGTTGCAGGAGACATATCCTGCAAAACACTTCTTACTGATGTGTTGATATTGAGGTGTGATGATTGTGTGTAGTGACCTACGCAGTTTATTGAATTATTATTTCGTAGTATTCGCGTAGTAATGGTGATGTGGGCACAAGAGAATTAGCAACTGCTTCTTGTGCAACATCGCTTGACACTGGTGATGTAGTTGTGGATCGGGATGATTGAGGAGATTGATGCGTGCAGACGAAATTGGTGATGACGAGGTTGAGTAACGTAAAGTTGATGAATTTTCATCACTTGCTGCAACAGTATTGGACTGGGCAGACCTAAGCGATACGGGGCCCCCTCCCCAGAATACGTGGGGCAGCCCGCGCCTGATGGCCCGGGGCGGGATTCTCCCATGTGGGTACCCGCCTGGGGTAGTTCTCTATTTCTTAGTCGCATCGCATATTGTCTCACTATAGCTCCGTTGGTCGTTGGTAAGTTTGTAGCAGAAAGCTTCCAATGTCCGCCCCTCACGTGGCATCAGGTGGTCGAGCCGGACGTGGAGTTAGGTTTATAAGGCCTAAAAGATTTATTTTGAATTTTAAAATGGTCTCCCATTATGGCGCTATTTCCCGGCAATGGCACAGTCGGCCGGGGTCACGAACTCAGGTGCACGAATCGGCGAACAATACGTGCCGTATCGAGCAGGACCGCCTTCTGCATTTGTGCTGGAAGCGACACGCCACAGAAATCCAACTGCCTCAAGCTGTTAGAAAAGCTGACAGGAATTAACCCATTTGCGGACAAAACAATTGGGATTGTTTCAGTGGAGGCCACATCCCACATGTCGGTGATTTCGTGCGCCAGGTCAAGTTTTTCGGTTTCAGCTTTCACGAGACGCTAGTCATGCGGGATGGTGACGTCCACAAGAAATACCCTCGACTGCGATCGATCCAATATCACAATATCAGGTTTGTTCGCAAGAATAGTCCTGTCCGTGATAATAGATCGATCCCAATAGATTTTGGTGCAGTCATCTTCGAATATTGGCTCCGGTGAATACTTGTAATATGGCAACCTCTTTTACCCTTTTACCCTTTTACCCTTTTAACCTGTTGCACTAGTCCGTACTTGAGAGCGAGCTCTTGGTGTAATATTTTGACTGCCTGGTTGTGTCTGTGCAAGTACTCGGTGTTTGCAAGAGCGGAACAACCGGAAACAATTTGAAACAATATGCCTAAGTGACTCTCCGGGACGGCCACATGCCCGACAAATGTCTACTGTGCCGTCTTTTAGGATATATTTCCGATAGTTCCGCGTCTCGATAACCTGATCCTGTATTGCACAGACAAAACATTCGGTTTCCCTAAAGAGGTCCCCGAAACACAGCCAATGTAGGGAGGCTTTACGGTCCATAAAAGCCTCGTGGATTACCTTGAAGAACCTCCCATGGAGCTCCTTCTCTTTCCATACGGACTCGCGGTCAGAGGTGCTAAGCACCACCGGGTCTCGCCATTCCTCTTTAGCCAACGATAAGGGAGTTAGCCCTTTATCACATGTGACAACCTTCCCACGAATTACGTCATCCGTCATCGTCAAAAAGTAGTTTCTGAGATTGCATATCTCGCGGTTGTGCATGGTTTTGACACTTAATAGGCCTCTACCTCCACACTTCCGCGGGACATACAATCTCATAACTGACGATCTCGGATGATGCATTCGGTGAGAGGTCATCGTCGTGCGGACTCGTCTATCCAGTTATTATTATTACTATTATTGATTGCCTTGGTCTGCTCTCTAAAATAAACTTCCTTATACCGCGACAACTGCCGAGGTCTGGTAGCAATAGGCTCTACCATAGGCCAAGATGTCGCACAAAGTTGAGGCCACATTGTTTCTTATCACGAGCAATAACACTGTATAAGGAGTATCAGTATTCAGTAATGAAATTGATTTAAATTGTACTTCCGTTTCTATGATAAGGAAAGTGATGTGATAAGTTTATAGATAAGTTCATAATGTATTGTACTTTTGTATATTATTGTATTTCTTTTAGTGCATGCTGTGCTCACCTTTAAGTAATGGGACACTTGGTTTAAAACCATAGTCTCTGTATACCTACATAGTTATAGTGTACTCATTGTTGTGAGAGCTGATTTAATAAATAAATAAACATTGGGTGCAAGTATACGTGAGTAGGGTAGTAATCTAGACGTGGCATTTCTCTGACATTAAGTAACTTTGAAAAATTTAAGAAAAATTTACTGGATTACTAACATTACTATAGATCATGGTCTGAAATAAATAATTATATTCTTCTATTGACATCTACCGACACACAACTGAGATTATTAATTACCTGGTCTCAAACTAGGGAATTCCCTGCAGTAAGAGTACCAACGCAACGAAATTCACTCCGTGATACTGCTCAGGATTTGAACATGTCACTTTTTCGTCCAGCGTCTGTAGTGCAAATAATTGGGCTAACGAAAGAAACTTTGGAACCTTTGACCTTGTACAAGGACAAAACTTTCCGGTGAAAGTACAAAATATGCCAAAACAACGTTATACGTATTACAATTATGATAAATGTAGATAATGATAGAGGAATTTCTACCGTAGGCTACTAATGTGCAATTCTGTGACTGGCAAGTAAGAATCATTTTTGGTTATCACGAAACATGTCAAAGTCACATGTGATGATACGTCAAAGTCTTCTATCACATGAAAGTTATAAAATGAATACGAGTTACATGAACGAATTATGTATGTGTGTAATTATTACAACTCTTCTTTTTAATAGAAAAGTTGTCGACTATTTTGTATCGTAGAATCTTTAAACTTATCCCCTAAAAAGTTATCATTTTGCAGATGTGACTTTATTATACCAAGTGTGCTAAATAATATTTTTTTTTATAACATCAAGTGACGGGACGAACAAGTCGTGCGCCTGACGATAAGCAACATGCTTGTCCATAACAGTTACAGTGCCACTCAGAGCTTTAAATTGCAAAGTTCTGAGGGGCACTACCACTGCGTTCGTCACCCCTGAGACATAAGTTGATAAGTCCCATGTGCAATTTCACATATGTAATGACGCTATGTAATATCTGGTGCCGATGTCGTCACTTTTTAGCTTTTGTGCAATTCAACACACTTTGGCGGTCGGTTCAGGCGCAATGTGGTACAGGCAGGGTAAGTTCTCTATTCACAGCGCGACTTGCAATTAACTCCCACTGACTTCGCGGTCCGTTCCGCAATCGTAACGGTTTCGTGCCCGCAACCGCGGCAGCTACTTGCCCGCACAAACTTGCAGGGTCGTGAGTATTGAAATAAAACCGCTGTCTAGCAACACCGGCGGGCGCGGATGGAAACCGCTCCGTGAATTGTTAACCTTATTAACCTTAAACTGACGCTACACAACGAGTTATGTGGTCCTACCTAATCGATAGTTGGAAACCATGTTGCTGTTTTTAGTATTAAAAAAAATATTCCATTTTTCATACTATATCTACACTGGTACTGGTGTATTATTAAATTAATGTATTGATATAAATTATTATTATTTTCTTAATGGCGGCCACTAGGCTTGCACCACTGTCAGTTTTATAAGAATAATATAAAAAATATGGCGACAATCGCCAGTGTCAATTTTCCATTATACGTTACCACGGGTTGGTGAAGTTGTCACTGTCAAGAGTAAACTCGAACCATCAACGAATAAATTAAATTAATTTGTTTTTTTTTATGGAGGATTTATGTAATTTTCTATAATTGTTTCTAATTTATTTTGCATGCACAAGTAAAATAAAGCCGATTTTATTTTATTTATTCTTTAAATACATTTGCAATTGAAACTGAAATTGAAACAAAGTCAGAAATAGTAATAAGAAAACCAATCTTTCGATTTTCCTGCAGCTTCAATCCAACCTTCTTTTATCTTGAACTCATTGGAAAAACTTAAAAATTAAAAATACTCTACGTTTAATCTACGAATATAATGGAATTTAAATATCTTAAATATCTAAAACACATAAATTTTTCTTCAAGCAACAGCAACATCCAAATTGACATGAAATTGAAACGGTTATCCGAAATATGAGTTGTTAAAGTTACTCGAAATAAAATGTTTAATAATAACAAAATAAAAGAAATCAACTTAACGTGAATGCTTTTCGCTTCGATATTTTAGGAACTTTAATTACAAAAATCATAGTAAGAAATTCAAACATTTCAGTAAAAATTTATTGTCGATAAAAAGTCTTCGTAAATGAACATCACTATATTTAAGTCTAGAAATTTCTATGGACACAAAAAGAAAACATTGAATAATAATAGAAATAGTAACTTTTTTGTTTTCACTCCAATTTTTACAAGGTGTATCGCTACACTTGGCATTTTTACGTTTTACGAGAGATCTTGTATGTACAACGATCGCCATGTCACTGTGGCGATGTTTGTAGGCGTGGGTGCGTCTCAGTTGTTCGAAAATCAAATAAACTAATTTCAGAACATATACCGTTCATATAATATAATTTTCATTTGGACTAATTTCAGTTCCTATATTTTAACTTCATATAATTGTTGTTTGATATAACATTCACATTTTATAACTTTTTTTAAAATAAAGCTCATATCATATAACTGTCATTTCATAATATATTGTCAATTCTGATAATTTTCACATAGTATAATGTCATTTTTTATAAATAATAAAGTTAAACCCGGCTCGCCGTGGTACTTGTCTGTTCGATACTAGAGTGTAACTTTATGTTTTCAATAGTATAGTTTACATAGCTGAATCTTCGTTTCGACAAAATTATTATTGTTACACACTGGATTCCTTGGTGGTTTAAAAGAAAACAAATGTATTTCACATAGGTCAAATCTTGGTTGCGTCCTCTATCTAGTAGGTTAGGTTAGGTTAGTATATGAAAAAGCCGCACGAGCCGAGCGAGCGCAGCGAGCGTGCCGCGGCAGCGGCCGGCGAGTGCCAGAAGCGAATTTGTTTGCGTTTACGAACATAGTTTCAGGTCAAATTATAATTGATATACTATTAGTTTTAGGAATATCGTTTGTTGAAATTGAAATAAAAGAATTATACACATATAATCAGCATTTATTTAGTAAAACATAGGAAAAAATTAGTTTATATTCATAATTATTATAATTAATATTCATTCATTTTTTCATCTACCCCGTATTTATACTAACTACAAAAATAATTATACGTATAACCGTACATTAGTTTTTGCTACTTGCGTATAATCAGGCGTTAGGTTAAATGATATTTATTCTGATATTCATTTTGACCATATCGAGGCGATACGAACCACGCCCCCATACCATATCTCCCCTTTTTTTCTATATACATGAATTTCACCAACATCATTTAAGCTTACATTAATGCTTTGCTTCAATCAATCAATCAACCTATTGCAGTCCACTGCTGGACATAAGCCTCCCCAAGTGTACGCCATAGTGCCCGACCACGCGTTTTCCGCATCCAACCACTACCCGCGACCTTTTAAGTCGTTCCATCGTCGGTCCATCTTGCAGGGGGGCGTCCTCCATTACGTTTGCCGAGACGTGGTCTCCACTCGAGAACCCGCCTACTCCGTCCGTCATCGGTTCTGCGACAGATGTGGCTAGCCCACTGCCACTTCAGCTTGCTACATTTCTGGACGAAGTCCACAAATTTAGTCTTATAACTTCGATCCGGACTTTGTCCCTTAACGAGATACCCAGCATAGACCTTTCCATAGCTCGGTGAGCGACGTGTAGTCTGTGAGCCAGTTTCACCGTCATATTCCACGTCTCGGCTCCGTAAGTCATGACTGGTAGGTCGCATTGGTTGTAAATCCTGGTCTTCAGGCACTGTGGGAGTGGTGACGAGAAGACATGACGCAGTTTCTCAAATCCTGCACAACCCAGCTGCACTCTTCTAGCTATTTCACGCTCAAAGTTGTCTCTGCCTAGTTGCAGGGTTTGCTCGAGGTAGACATAGTCTCGGACAACTTTGAGCGTTTTGCCATTAATCGAAATCGGCTCCGGGATACGAACGAGCTCATTGAACAAGACCTTAGTCTTGTCCAAAGTCATCCGAAAATCGACTGATAATGAGGCAGCGTTAAGGCTGTTCAGCATTTTCTGCAGATCCAGATTTTGCCATTATAACGATGTCATCGGCAAAACGAAGGTGTGTGAGATTTTCACCATTAACATTGATGCCCAATCCGGTCCAATCAAGTGTCTTGAAGACGTCCTCCAGAGCGTTAGAGAACAGTTTCGGAGAGATAACATCTCCCTGTCTCACGCCTCTGTGCAACTGGATGGGTCTTGTCTTGTTGCTTTGTACTTGGACGGACATCGTGGTCTTGCTGTACAGATTTCTCAGCACCTCTACGTACCGCCAATCAACTTGGCATCGCTGCAAGGATTCCAGAACAGCTCAGGTTTCGATGGAGTCGAAGGCTTTTTTTAGGCTATACACAGTCGCTGATTATACTCTTCGGACTTCTGTATAATCTGCCGAACAGTGTGTATGTGGTCCACGGTGCTATAGCCTTTTCGAAACCATGCCTGTTCCGGTG